ATTTCGGGAGTGACATTTTATTTGTTTATTAAAACTGTGTAATTACAAAAAGATTTACAGGAGGAGGAGGGATAAGAATAGCAGGTGATATTAAGTATTTCTATGAAATAAACTATAATGATACACAACACGTGTTGGCGATGAAGTACCAATACCTACTAACTTACATTTATCTAGAGACTCACTTTATTTTTATTGAAAATGCCATAATATTCTTTAGGATTGTTGGGAGGTGATTTATTCGAATGCTGTTGCAGTTAAAAATAAACATTTAGGAGAATTTGATCCAAGATGCGAAAAGCGCAACGCGATTAAAAATCGTATTATTAATCACGTTTTGACACTTCACCGCCGATGTATCAATATGAAAAACATAATACGTTTTAGTACTGTGCAAGCTATATCAAAAAAACTCCAGCAATTTCATTAGCTGTTACGTTACATTCTAAAGAAGTGACATGTTTGTTTGTAATTATACCTATAAAGCACGAATTCTAAGTATGCGTAAAGACATATTGCCTTCGTCTTAGTTTGTAGACAAACATTGAGTACTCCGCTGAGAACTTACAAAATCAACAAATCCAGTAGATAGTAGCTTATCTCAACATTTATGTTTAGACTGCAAAGCAGACAATTTATGTGGAACTATATCACAATTATTACCTAATCCGAACTGAGAATTCTGTACATCGAACAACCAACCAACGGCATTTACTTGTGACCGCCCAACCGACGAGAGACATAATAAAGTTATGGCTACAATAATAATTCCTTCCAACTTTAAGAGGGATTCCACAAGGGACTATTCTTGGTCCCACACACTTTTATGGTAAACAGTTCTATCATCTTAATGTCTTTTTGATCTCATAAAATTATGGTTTCATGTTACTTTCCCATAAATATTTAAGTGGTAGGAATAAGTTATGGTTTTTTAAGTGTCTTGAGAATAAGTATAAATGTTGAAACATTTATGAAGACAAAAACATCTTACAGAAAATATATTAATAGAAATGTTCTTCTTTCTTCCACCGATTAATACAAAATAACCATTGTTTGTCCTAATTTCTTATTGCTGTATTTTTTAATTTGTGGCCATAATTATACTGTCCAAGTAACCGAAGACGGCTTGTCGTTGCCATTCATATTTGCGAGTACAATAACACAAATATTTACAAGACTCTCAATCAGCCAATCTGATTTCCTTCCATGAGGTGATAAATTCGATGATGTTTCAGCACCATTAGTATTTCCCTTCCAACGATAAAACAATCTTACCACTGTCCTAGTTGGGAAACAGCCAGCAGAAAGAAATATGGAATTAAAGAGCGATTGTTTTAAAAGCGTTGCTAAAACATTACTTTTTGAGTCTGTCTGAGGAAACTTGGTGTGGACGGGAGTTTTATCTCGTAAATGTAAGCAAGTACGTACATACGGCGCTTGTTTTATTGTTGTTGGAAAACTCCGCGAGTTCTTGCGGACCCCTACTTTTGAAACATTGTCGTGAACTTTTGTTACATTATTATTATTTTTTATTTTAATACGTTAACAGCTTTGTTTAATTCTCTCACTCCTAGCTACTATTCTTATAAATAGCATAAAAGTGAAAGTGTTTCAGAAAACCGGCGTGAATCAACGCTTGCATCATATTTCGACATGTGAGTGTACCAGAGGCCCAATCCTTCCGATCACCTGTTTCATCCCCAAATTCCTAATAACCTCCAAAAAGCTGATAACTCTTCTGTAACTCTTCTGGTGTTGCGGGTGTATATCTGCGACGCCAATTGCTTACCATCAGTAAATCCGTCTGCTCACTTGCTGAAATATTCCATAAAAAACAGTTCAACTTCGCCAGAATTCCCACATACTCTTGGCACCCCTAGTAGGGGCAACCCTCTCCGATGTTTAGAGTGCTCCCCACTCTCACCTACCACTTGCTTATAATGTCCGTATACTATTATATATATGTAACAGTACATGTATAGAAATCAACTTTATTACCCTCTCATATGCGTGCCGTAATAGAATTCCAAGATTTTTTTTCTTATTTGTCGAGTTACCCTTGGGAAGCTTTAACTGTATGTAAATAAGGAAAATGCGATACAAATAAATTTTGGGGATTTCCTTCAAGGACTGTTTCAGGTTTTCACAGGTCAAGTTCCTTTGGCATTTATAAATGAGGTTATCTTTGCTAATATGGCTTTTTTATTTGATAGGATAGCTAACAAGCAGTCGGATGACTTAGGGATCAGTGCATTGGGGTCTTTTGCAGGGTTAGGTATTTGAAGGTTTGAAGTTTGAGGATTAGGCGTGAATGGAGGGGAAGGATTGGGCTTTCAGTAACCTCACTTATACGGCGAAACATAACGTTGTGGTTGTCTCACGTCGGTTTTCTGTGAAGCAGCAGTATCACTACAGTCGAGCCAACCCATTCGTGCTGAAGCAACGCAGCCCACAATAAATGAGGAAATGAAGAAAATGGAACCAAGAAAAATATACATAAGTTCGGTTTATTTATTATCTTTACTAATAGAATGAAGCTGTAGAGTTTGTTTATTTAGACGCGCTAATCTCCGAAACTGCTGAATAAAATTGAATTGTGTTTGTCAGTCCATTTATCGAGGAAGGCTATAGATTATAAAACATCACGCTACTATTGTAGAAGTCGAGCAGCGGCAGCAAATATTCACAAATATTTAATACGAATATACGACTTATTTTAATCTTCTTTAAAGTATAAAATAGTCATGTTATGTTTTGTTATAATGAATAATAATAAATATTTTACCATTTTTTTTTGTGAAAATCATCAAATGTTTTTTTCTTGCCAGGGTGAAAGGAGAGAGACTGTCAGACTCTGACTAAAATACCCACGTTTGAGTTCCAGCCCCAGGCCAGGCCCGTGGTACATTACTGCGTTTAAATACATATATATACTTAAATATTTTATCTTAGCAGAATATTTTCGTCATTAGTCACGGGAAATTTGGAAAATTATATTACCTACTTACAGCCAAGTGCCTTAGCAACATTTCGTATTAATATGGGCGAACGTACTCAATGTGCGGAAGTACTTAAGGGTCTTTGTAATACCATGACTGTTTTTCGTTTTGTAATGTAGTACGTAGTGTTAATTGAATGTACATACATTTATACCTACGTATATTAAAATATATAAATATTTTTATATAGAATGTTGTAATTAGTTTTTTAACTAGAATTGGCTCGGCTGTTTCGTGGATGTGTTTACAAACATAAAAATCCACAAACAGGTAACATCCAAGTTTTAAGTGCGAGAGAGCCATACTTTGGCACAAATGGGTCGGCTCGACCTGAGTGATACCACGGCCACACAGAAAACCGGCGTGAAGCAACACTTACGTTGTATTTTGCCTCATGAGTGAAATTACCAGAGGCCCAATTCTTCCCCCTCGAAAAGGGGGTTTGTGGACAAGAGGCCAGCAACGCACTTGTAGTAACTTCTTTGATATTACGAGTGTCCATGGAGGGCGCTGATTGCTTACCATCAGGTCATCCGCCTATTCGTTTGCCGACCTATGATGGAAAAAATCTAGACTAGGATTAACATTTGCAGTTCGCATAAAGAGTTTTGCCGTGCAGGAAACGAAGCCCGTGACAAATCGCACGGCAGCCAGTTGCTCAGCCTGTTGCCCAGCCACCGGTCTTTACTGCGTGTAGGTACAATGATGTATATTAGCATAAGTTATCCTCAACTATGTATCGAGACAGTACTTACTTTAGTTATAGCCTTTGCCATACAGATGAGGCAATCAAAACGAATATTGAATGGTTTCGTTCTAAAATGAACAAGGTACAAAGGGTGACATTACATTAATATTTTAGGACTTTAAATGAAAAAAAACTTGGAATGAATAGCAAAACGTTTATTAATAGGTGTTTACCTATGAAATTGCCGCTCTGTAGTACTGGCCATTTCAAATCAAAATAGGTTTTGTTAGGCTAAGGCTAATTAATTTTGTTTTTAAAACATGGGATTCTTTTTCTAAAAGTAGTCATTTGCTTATTGATTGGTGTTACATTTTCATCGCATTTTAAATAAAAAAAATCGTTTAAATTTTTTCATGCAAAACGGCAATTATTTATAATAATGAATAATTGTTAAGTTTATAGACAAACAAAAATAAAAGTTTATTGAAAAACCTTTTCAATCAAAATAAAGATTTATTCTTTACTCAACAAGGACTGTTTGAGAATTGACACTAAACTCAAAAAATTTCTCTTCAAAAACAACGAACAAAAATATAATAAATCATGACAATACAGTTACAAATCATTCCTCAGTCAATTTGTGGGGCCAAAAATTCCTCACTTACCGTTTGTTAGGATGCGTCCTTTCAGTTTCAGGAAATCGAGCGCTCGCAGTTCTGAGCACGACTGAAACAAGGAAATTGAGTCAGTTAGAAATCATTGGCGGCGGTTGAGGGGAGTTCGTTTTACCAATCTTGCCAATAAGGGTGGTGGGGGTATTTTAGATTATGTCTTTGTGTTATAACTTTCATGAGATCTACTAAAGTCCTTATAATCTTTACAGCTTACTCGTAACTTTTTGACGGGACACTCGACTCGTTTCAAGCCAAAATTCTAGCCTTCTAGCCTATCGCGGCTTGAAACTTGTCGAGTTCCTCGTCACAGAGTTTTATTTTTTATTTTATTGGGTAGAGACAACAATCAGTCACATTATAAATCGTGTACACAGGCATTATAAACGAAACTTGATGTAACAATGCTGCCCACAGAGTTATTTACTTTATTAACATGAGTTACATGAGTATGCTCTAAAAAATAACAATTGGTTATTATGTTGTTAAATTAATATCATTTGTGATTTTTTTTTAATTTGGTGTTTGTGCTTTAAGGTAGAAATGTAAAGTTTTAATAATATGGTAGCAAATTCACTTTATTATTCCTTTTTCATAATTTAAAAGTTGCGGCTCTTATTTTGCCTACCATCAGGCTAGATAATGTTTGACAATCCAAGCGATGCGGGCAAAAAGGGCCGCGACAGAAAACGACGAGTAGGGTAGGTGCCGACCAGGAACAAATTTCAAAATTTCAGTACACCTTAGTTGTAAATTGCATAACTCGACTTAACTTCTCCAAAGTCGTAGCTGAGTTTGCAAGTACAAGCGCCATAATGTATCATGGCCCTTTCCCAGAGCAGGAAAAGAAACAGAGTCATTTTAATAAAGAGAGTGACACAGAGAGGAGTGAGAGGGCCTCACTCCTCTTAGGGGCTCACTCCTCTTAGAGCGAATACCATATAAATATTTTTTTCAACACAACCATCAAAAAAATCTCCTTACACGTTGTGTTACGTCGGTCTTCTCAATTAATATGTATTGTCATTGTCATCTAAAAGATAATAAACTGATTAACAAAGGCCTCACACACTAAACTATGCTTAACTTTAAACCAATATAAGACGCAACACAATATCTCCTCTCACAAACTTCCCCCTAATTACAAACTCATTTCAATTTCTTAAAACAAACTATTACAGTAGCTGAGGATCTCAGAGACCCAATAACCGTAGCGATGACGTCACAAGCGCGCGTCGTTAAAACTTACTCAATTAACTGGAATGTTCCGGCGTATGGCTGTAACTACTTTCAACTAGTACAATCTGGTTTGAACCAGATTATTGCATGCGGGATTAAGTTTTGGATTATTGGTTTTATTTTAATATTTATAGTATTTCTTTTGTTTTTGTTTCTTAGATATCTGTCGTGTTAAATTCTCTGGCGTTTTCTTGGAGTTACACCTTCTTTACATTAATATTCATAGTTGCAGTAGTGATTTCCCGACCAGTTTTCAAACAACTCCATCTACAATGTGTACCCCTAAAAGTACCAACTAGACATAAAGAAAATAATTTTCATTTGAATTTTATTTTTGTATAGAAAGTTAGTAAGCAAATTTATTAAAAAACTTGGTCCTTTTAACATTGTAATAATTTAAATGTTGAATGTTTGCAACTAGGGAACGCTTGACGTAACCACTTGGAATTCTACTGACCCACTTTACTAGTACTAGGTCATGCACCGAAAACGTATGAACCAATATGATATTTAAATTATACATTTGCGGCAGTTCTGTTCTCTAAAGGTGGAGGCAGAATTTCTTTTTAATATTATCTTATTTTATTAAACTCCAAGCGAACGCCGACGTCCACACACCTATAATATTATGTCTCGAATTACCACGATTGAAATGTTAATTCCTCCTTCTCTGTCCACTCAACCATTCCTGAGAGATATTCCACCACGCACGAAGCGTTTTGCTTGACTTTCCTTGTGAGAACCGCTATCTAGTGGTCTTCCTTTTTTAACTCCCGACGCTAAAAGAGCGGTGTTATTTATAACGATCACGTGTACACGTGACACGTACGTACGATTGACGTGTCTGTCTGTATGTCTGTCTGTTTGTCTGTTGTATCATAGATCCCGAACCAATGAACTGATTTCAATTAAGTGTGTTTTGTATAACAAGTGTTTTACGTTCGAGTGTTCTTAGACATTTTTAATGAAAATCGATTGGCCAGTTTATGATCGATGAGTGAAAGTGGGGACGAAAAACCGAATGTCTGCAAATATACTCAAGTGGGATATCAATTGAAAGGTTATTTCTAGTAAATCACAAAAAACGGCTTTATATAAGTTTGACGTGTCTGTCTGTTTTTCTGTGTTTGTGTGTGTGTCTTTGTCTCTGTGGCATCATAGCTCCCGATCTTCCAAACGGATGAACCGATTTCAATTAAGTTTTTTTTCTATTAAATGTTACTTACGTGCGGGTGTTCTTAAACCTGTTTTACGATAAAAATCATTTAAAGCGTTTAAAAATTGTGGGGGTGAAAGTTGGTAAGAAATACAGAATGTCTTTAAATATGCTCGAGTGGGGTCTCAAATGAAAGCGCATTGCGTGTACAATACAAAATAATTACTGGGGTGAAAGTAGGGAATACACCCAAAACCTGCAATTATTGTGAGGCGAGCATACCAAGGCGCTGATGAGAAGGTCCTTAGAATATTATTTTGAGCTCTTTAGTTAGATTTGCTAGCTGTCGACCATAGTTGGATCCCACCACTGACAGATGGTGAAGAAAGACTTCGTCAGAAAACTAAAAGACTTTAATTTCTAATTATATGCTTGGAATCGCCAATCTACCTTGAGCAAGCTTGGTGAATAATGCGTGAAATGCCAAACCTTATCCGTAGAAAAAGCCATTCAAGAAGATAGCTTATCTTCCTTATCCACTACTGAATGTGAAATTACCAATCAAATCCCGAGGCAGTTCATAAGGTGTATAAGGTTTGTTTATTTTAAGTTTTTTATTTAATTGTCATTTACTTATTCAGTTCAAGTAGAGAACAAATTAATTACGAAAGATTAGGCAAGTGATCAGGGCTGAAACATAAATGAATATCGGTTGTGTCCCAGCACGAGCGTAAACCACAAAGGTTTTACTCCGACACGGGACGACTGCGGTACATTTCAAATGGTTACTTCGAGAGTACGTGTGATGTCTAAGTTTAAAAAAATTGTATTTTAAATGAAAGTATCAACAACGGGAGAAAATACCTCGGCAGTAGCGATGTTTTAATAGTGATTATAGCGACGCAGGTTTTTTAAACAAACAATTTTAAGCTATTCATTAATTACTATAATATAATAGGTCGTGGTGGTCCAGGGGTTGGGGTGCCCTCTTCTCATGCATGAGGGTGCAGAGGCCTCTTCTCACACGGACAAGGTTTGAGCATTAACTACCGCGCTTGCTTAAGGTGGATTGGAGATTTCAAACTTAGAATTAGAAATTATAAGTCCAGGTTTCTTACGATATGATCTCCGGCAACCGTAAGCACGGGTCTGCACGGACGGTGAGTAGACGGGTAGCTCGCCGCCCGACCAGAACCAGACCCGAGCGTACGGCGCGTAGTGTTCCGCGCGCGCCTCAAAGAGCCAATAGACCACCACAGACGGGGCCCAACAGGGCTGATATCAGCCGGGGTTGCGGGGTAAGCGCAATGAGAACAGGGGGGTTTTTAGTCAGTAAGAGTCTGACACTCTCTCTCGCCTTACCCTGGGCGGGAGGACGGGAGGAGTCATTGGATGATTTTACCCTGACAAAAAAAAGGTTTCCTTACAATGTTTTCCTTCACCGTATGTCAGTGGTGTTTAAACAATCATAGAAAGTACATATCATTCCGAAAAAGTCACATTGGTACTTGCCAGGTTTTGAACCCGCATGTGCTTTAACCACAGCAACACCAAAATTCAATACAAAAACACAATACATATGTATAAGGTGATAATTGACGGTACTATAATGATGTCACACACACATGGTACATATGAGCTCAGTTATTACGTCACAGTGTCATCTATCACGTACTGTTGCGCACAAAAGCTGTTCGAAATTATTAATGGAACTATTGTTAAAATATATCGGCGATGAATTGTTTTTTGTTGATGAATGTACTTGAATGCGGGCGATGATTTTAAAAAAAGAACGCAAATAAGAGATGTTTTCGCGTTCTTTTAGAGGGTTTTTTTATACTAGAGTCGTCTGTGTCTGAGGAGATTAAAATAAATAGGTTTATACCTTCAGACGGTCAAGGGAAATATTATGAGGGAATCTTTACTTATAATTTACTAGCGACCCGCCCCGGCTTTGCATAGCAATGCTGATTCCAAATTTCTCCTTTTTCAACCACTTGGCCTATTAAAAAAACCCTCATCAAAATCCGTTGCGTAAGTAGTTATAAAGATAAAAGATAGAATATATAGTAGTTTTAAATATATGACAGAGAAACCGAGTATGTTTTGTTCTATGTATATACTACTTTAATATATTATTTTCAGATTAAAATCTCATTTAGAAGTTCGTTTATTCCCCTTGTAAGTAGTACCTACACCAGTACCTTTATCAGTAGTGGGATATTTACAAGCCGATGCTAAAATGAAGATAAATAAAGGTATATATAAATCTAAATACAAGCTACTCTTAATCACAGTCTGCATAAAACGAGAGAAACGAACATTTTCAAATCGTTTGAGGATACGAGTGTACCTACCTACTCGTTTATTTTATGAATCGAGAGCTATCGAGATATCGGATTCGCTTCGCAATCCTCCGAACTATTTGTTTATACGTAAAGAGTGTAGCTACTTTTATTATAACTTTGTTTTTTTTTATTTTTGTTGATTTCCTTTGAGCCGGCTGAGGCAAGAGTCACATTCTCACAGAATTCGATTTTTGAAATGTCAAAGTGGTAACCTATATTGCACTTACATAGTGTAATACGCACATTTAAAAGGTTTTGTTCCGTGAAACAGGGGATTAGTATGTTGGCACGTGTCAGGCACAATTCCAGATTCCGGACTATTGTTACACTTTTTTAAACCATCAAATGATTTCTATCGCCTAGGGCGAGGCGAAGGGGAGTGTCAGACTCTTACTGACTAAAAAATCGCTCGATCCATCTCCTGCTCCAGGCCGAGACTGCGGTACCTTTTTGCGCTTGCCCCGCAACCCCGGCTGAACTTCAGCCCTATAGGACCCCGTCTGTGGTGGTCTATTAGCTCTATGAGGTGAGTGCGGTACGCTACGCGCCGTACGCACATATCTGGTTCTGGTCAGGCAGCGATCTACCATAGGTCGCCGTACGCAGACCCTCGCTTTTGGTGGCCGGAGATTGTCACTCGATCACACACCGATGTGTCGGAGGGGCTGGGGCGAAATGAGGATAGGTTCCTAATGCGATCCGCCTTGGTCTCGCAAGCATTACTGCTACCCAAAAAGAGGAGACGACTTTCCAGCTCTCTTCACTCCGCACCGTGGCCTAGACTAAGACCGGGCGCCAGGGGTCATCCCAAGTAGGGCACTCCGCCAACGTATGCTTTACTGTATGTATCCTCTGGGTGGACGATTTGAATTACTGAATTATTAAAATATCGATTTATTTTAAGGTATAGGTCGGCAAACGAGCTGACGGATAACCTAATGATAAGCAATCGGCGCCACCACCCGCTACACCAAAGGAGTTACAAATGCTTTGGCGGCCTTTTAGGGACAAGGGTTTTGGATAATTAAGGATCGGGAAGCGATTGTAGGAAGGATAACGCCGCCGCGCCGGTAACCTCACTCACACGGCGAAACACAACGCTGTGGTTGTTTCACGCCAGTTTTCGGTGCGGCCGTAAGATCATTCCGGTGGAATCTACACATACGTGCCGAAGTTTGGCTCTCCCACACTTGAATTCTTTCGGAATTCAATCATACCGGCTTTATAACGTAAACAAAACCCTATAAAAAGTGGAACACAACAAAAGACCATCTTTTGGGCAACCCTGCATTCTAAGAAGAGTTCTTATTTGGTCTCAAAACGTTAGAAGCTTTTAATGCTAGTATGTCCAAGAGTACTTTTCATTGAGGAGCGGGGAGATGTAACCTAGATAACGGCATTCAAGCCCTTTGAGCCGGGCAACCGGCCGTACCTTGAGTTTTGACACAAAAGATTCCGTAACTAGGCCCCTTTAGAATTTCTGTTGCAAGATTTTTTGCTAAAATGAAATTAGGTACGTTAATGTTTATGTTTTGTGAGCTCTTGTACAATATTATAACTAAACAATGAAATTGGTAAAATATGCATGCGAATATGATCTTAAAAAGGCTGAAATATGTTTAAAAATGAACTCAAAAATGGTGTGGATGTTATAAACATGTTTGAAGCGCCAAAGAAGAAGTCTCGGGCATCCTAACTGGTGTTTCTAGAGAAAGCTACCTTAGAATTGATTTGTTCTTTTTGATTTTCTGCCTGAGTGGAGCAATTGAATTGGATTTAAAACCTTGTTTTTACGAAAGATAACCGAGTTATTACAATGATAAGCTTAAAACAAGTTTGTTGAAGCTTACTCACGTTTTTTTTTATGGTATAAGCCTTCAAACGATTACCTGATGGTAAGCAATCGGCGCCGCCAATGGACACCCGCAACACCAAAAGAGTTACGAGTGCGTTGCCGGCCTTTTGGGGATAGGGGTTGCGGATATAACGATCGGGAAGGGATAGGGGAAGAGGAGGGATTAGGCCTCCGGTAACCTCACTTACGCGGCGTAGCATAATGCTGTGAATGTTTCACGCCGGTATTCTGTGAGGCTGTGGTATTACTCCGGTCGAGCCGACCCATTCGTGCCGAAGCTTGGCTCTCCCACACTTAAAGACAGACACGTATTTTTGTAACGATGAAGATTAGAAGTTATTATACTTATTTCAATATCGTTACATATATGTGGGAACCCTCGCAATACAACACAAGATGGCGACATGGCGACCTACTTTCCCTTGTAAAGGGCCCCAAAAATTCTTAATTTCAATTTTTCTTCCTAATTTTCTCAGTTCCCTGTGCCTGCTCTTCAATTTAGCTTATTAGTCCCAAATGCGAAATCCTCATCGTTTTACTTCGGACGCGATCAAGTAGTAAACAAATATTGAAGCGAGCAGAATTTTGAGTAGAGTCATTGATCTACAAAATTATAATCATTTGTTAAGGATTTTGTTCTGACTTCAGACTGGACATGACGAGATAAATACATACATATAATCTAATCAGGTGCAATACCTTATTATTATTTTATGTAATAGATCAGCAAACGAGCAGACGGATTACCTGATAGTAAGTAATCAGCGCCGCCCATGGACATCCGCAACGGAGTGCGTTGCCGACCTTTTAGGGATTAGGGACTTGGAGATTTAGGGATTGAGGAGGGATTGGGGGTGGGGAAGGATTGGGCCTCCGGTAACGTCACTCACACGGCAGAACACAACGCTGTGGTTGTTTCAAGCCGGTTTTCTGTCAGGCCGTGGTATCACTCCGGTCGAGCCGACCCATTCGTGCTGAAGCATAGGATCTCCCACAGATTTTCTCTAGTGAGTAAAATGTGAAATAGTTTTAACGTTTTTATTTACTGTTTGTAAGTAAAAATAAACTGCAGAGTGTCTGGCGGTAGTTGGATGAGAAGTGCATGAACATCCAGCTCAGTGGCATGCAATTGGGGGCTATGTCCAGCAATGGACGGAATGATGATGATGATGATGATGGTGATGGTGATGGTGATGATCATGATTTTGATGTTGATGTTGATGTTGATGCTGATGGTGATGGTGATGGTGATGGTGATGATGATGTTGATGATGATGATGGCGACGACGATGATGATGATGATGATGATGAAGTAAAAATATTATTATTATCTTTTCGTCCAGGACACACAGCAGGGTACCATCAGAAAATCGGAAAGAACTGTTATTTCTAAAGCTGGTTTATCGTCCCACCCCTTGGCTACACAGTGCTGAGATGGGCATGTACGATGACAATTCATGGTGCAGTAGACGTGATCCGGCTGACGATGATGTGCAAATCCAAAGCAGTGGATTTAGACTTTTCTGAACTAGATACGAAAGTCTCAATACTCAATATCTTTATTGCATTATCAAAAGTACATATAAAGGTGATAACAATATGTGAGATCAATTATGGACCCTGTAAGGCACAGCAAATTAGGGTAAAAAGAGAGAAAGCTCTTTAAATTCTTTAAATTAAACAATACCTAAAATATATTATAGAGATCATTAATAAAATTTTGCTTAAACTACAATTTATATACTATTCTATACATACCTACGGTACTTAAGACTATTTTTATTTAGTTTTTTTACTTATTTATATATTGTATATTATGTATATTTGTAGGTTACAGTTATGTGGGTAAATCCTCTGCTTAACTTTTTACCTTTAGGTTGTAAACGTTTCTGATCAAGTTTTCAAAAACATCACTGATTTAATTTCAATTTAATATTATAGTAGCAATTTAAACCAATTTACGCTTTATTGGATTCATTTATATTTACTTATTACGATGTATATAATGTGGTTTTTACACGTATTAAATCTATACTTAATGTTATGAAGCTGAAGTGTTTGTTTGTATTTCTGAACGCGTTAATCCCCGGAAATACTGTTATAGCTAACTTAATTTTTGGCTGCGCGACATCATGAATAATAATCCCATTGTGACATGAACCTAGTAGAGCTCTTCTTGAGTTTGTTTTTTTTTTGTCATGGGGAAATCATTAAATGGTATCTCTCGTCCAGGGTGAGGCGAGAGGGAACGTCAGACTCTTACTGACTAAAAAACCCAAAGGGGGTTTCTTTCATCCTTCTGGGCCGCGGTGCCATAGTGAGTAGGAATTTCGTTATCTATATTAATACTTATACTAATATAGTAATACTAATAATATTAAAAAGAGGTAAAATTTGTAAGTTTGTATGTAGGGGTAATCCTTGCAACCGATGGTCGGATTGCCAAACTTCTTTCACTGATAGAAAGCTACATGTCCCTGAGTGCTAAAGACTCTAAAACATCACGCTACGATCAGATGGACGTAGTAGTATTTAGTAGATGGTAGTAGCTTGTTTAGTGTTACCACGATATTTATTATTCAAAAAATATACACATATAGTTAATGTACCATGTGATACGAACAGTTAGGGTCGAGCAGCGAGTGAGATCGCTAGCAGCTAGTTAATTATGCTGAGCTTTTCTTCGACTTCGTCTAGGAAAGGAAGGGCTAAACCTCCTCCCTAATGAAGGGCTAAACATAATTTCAGCTTCCGCGATCCAGTAACTTGGTTTCTGCGTTGCTTCTCGCTCAGTACATAACTGAGGAGTATCTCATATGATATTGTGTATGCCACCCATACTCAAATTTGTATATTAAAAAATGTATACATAGAAATGTACAGCCGGACTTAATCCTTAGACATTGTCTAACAGTTGACCTTTAGGCGCTGGAGAGATGAGAGTGGCAGTTGAAAAAAGTATATATAGCAAAATATTAGGAAGAGATTTTTTTTAAATGTGTATGTAGAGGGTAATCTTTGGTACAGCTAGTCTCATTTCAAAAACCTTTTTCTGATAAATAGCTATATATAATGTTCCTGCATGCTATAATAGGCTATTCAAACATCACCCTACGACCAATGGGAGCCGAGCAACGGGTAAAATCGCGTGGCAGTAGCTTGTTAGTACATATACTATACATATACGCATACACTCGAATATTGCCATCGCCCGTTTATCATCATTATCCCCGATCTTTCTTCATTGCACCCGGTTTATTTAGGTATTTATTTATTTGGGACAAACAAACAAACAAACAGTTACACATTACCTATATCTGTGCTAATAACAATAAAACAAAGATATTAAGTATATAAATGTGAAACTCACACAGTTATCCCACACTATAGCATATATCTATACTAATATTATAAAGATGTTAAATTTCTAAGTTTGTATGTAGGGGGTAATCTTTGGAACCGCTGGTCGGATTTCCAAAATTCTTTCACTGATAGATTGCAACAATGTTCCTGAGTGCTATAGTCTATAAAACATCACGCTACGACCGAATGGAGCCGAGCAGCGGGTGAAACCGCGAGAGAGTAGCTAGTTTTTAGCATTCATTAAACGAATGTCAAATGTTTAATAACATAACAATATCACTGGAAATTGGGAAAAGTAGGTGGTTGTCAAAGACTCGTATAGAGAAGAATAAGCTAAAACTTCACCATTGGTCGTCAAAAAAGAATTTGTGCCATTATTATTAACAGTATGTTCTATTTTTGTCCTACAAAAAATTGGTCCCGTTTATCGTACGTGGGCGGGCAGTCCAGGGTAGATAGATAGGGCAGGATAAAAGTATGTATAGTCCCAGATTTAATATCGGATCAGTCATACAGTACTGGACATAGGAGAGTCATGTTTCGGCATGAATGGGTCAGCTTGACCGGAGTGATACCACGGCCTTCCAGAAATCCGATGTGATACAACCACAGCGTTGTGTTTCGCCGTGTAAGTGCTGTTACCGGAGGCCCAATCCGTCCCCTCCCCCTATCTTTTCCTAATCCCTAAATTCCTTTATTCCCAAAAGGTCAGTAACGACCTTGTAAATTCTACTCGGTGGTGTGGGTGTCCATGGGCGTCGTAGATTGCTTACCATTAGGTAATCCATATGCCCGTTTGCCACCCAACCACATGAAAGAAACAAATAATAAGAACTGAATGCAAGAAGGCAAAATATGATTCCCATTTTGAATTAAATGACAACCATTCCATTTTACGCACATCCGTCGCTAAAGCGCTATATCGCTTAAGCAATCTCCCGAGAATATGAGTTCATCAGCTTCATAAACAAAAATGATAAACATTTTGTATAAAAAAGCGCTGCAGCGCTTTAACCTAACAAAGGAGTTTTATAGCGCCACAGACGTTTAGGCAAGGTTTAGCTGGAATCGCTCCCGGGGGCTATGAATATCATTCTGAGCTTACATCGCCGACCAGAGAATTGTTAACATAACAATAAACATTTATGGTTTTTTTTTCGCATTTACGGGGGCCTTGATAAGTTTTTTTAGGGTTTTCTTAGTGTCGATTAATGGAACCTTGGAGTTTTAAATAGTTATGTATTTTAAATATTTTTTTTTATAAAAGAAATTTCTTATGAAAATAAAATATAAAGCTAAATTATTTTAAACCTTTTTAAACTTTGGCTTACAGTAGATTATGTTTTTTGTGTCGTGGTTTTTTTTTCAGATGAAAATCATCAAATTGCTTCTCCCACCCAGGGGAGTAAAGCGAGAGAGAGTACCAGACTCTTACTGACTAAAAACCCTCCCATTCCTTAACCTGTTTTAGGCCGAGGCGGTGGTGCCACATTGCACTTACCCCACAACCCCGACTGAACATTGGCCCTGTAGGAACCCGTCTGTGGTGGTCCATTGGCTCTATGAGGTTCTCGTGTCGTGGTTGGTGCGTTTCCAAACATACAATTACACGTACACATTTCTTTTTTTTTCTAAACTTGTACTCTAATGTATTTTTTTCCTGGTTATTTTTAATATTTATTTTAATAAAATCCATTTAAAATATATTGATTTTAACTAAACCATTACACGTTTTTTTATTTTAAAAAAAATTAAAAGTCTTTTAATCTGTTCGCGTTCTGTAGATTTGAATGAACAATAATAATGCTTGCAAAGACTATTTAATTTAGGGCTGATTTTTCAATAGTCAGATAAATGTTATCTGATTAATAAAATTGTTGCTGTCACTGTCTTATAGAAACATTTTGACGCGACAGCATCATAATTATTCTCCTTATAACTTTTATCTAACCATTGAAAAATCAGCCCTAAGGCCAGTGTGGTTTGTTACCGAATGTTTTTGGGCAATTGATGGGATTATTAAAAGTTAAGTAATAGATCTATAAGTATATTGAAAACACGACTTATAATAAATAAGGTGTTGTTATTACGCAGTCCGAATGTGAAATGAATCCTAAAATGTGTGTTTATTAATTAAAACGGACTTATGATCACGTTGCATTTACGTGATTGTGCGGTTTAACCGTACAAGTGAATTTGAGACTAATCTATATCGAATTAAGTATGATCGTGACTGATAATTCAGTTCTGACTAGTTACAATTTTCAATAACGGCCATACTGACTCTTATTGTCTTTAAATTTGAATGTTCATAATTGCCATCAGAATAAATTAATTTAAAAAAAATGGATTTTGAAAAAATAACATTGATTAATGCTCTTAGAAGTGCGCACTTATAAGCTGATAATGACATTTGTAAAAAAAAGTAAAGTAAGTATTAAGATTGTTCGCAACTTTTATGAAGCAATAATATGTAGGTTAGTTTTTAATTCTTTCTTTTTTCATATTTTGCCGGCTTGAGAACTGTATTCAGCCTATTATCGGATTGAACACGTCAAATTGTTTATTGTGTTGTAGTGGACTAGTGATTTTATTGGTTTTTTTTATTAGTGGCTTGTTATTTAAGACTATGAATGGTACTTAGTAGGTTCATATATAAACATAAGGGTTCTTTTATTGACCTAGTGGAAAATGTGTGTGTTATGTTAAGGTAAAAGAAACTTGCCCTAAAGCAGTCTTAGGTTAAGGCAGACTGCATTGAGTAAAGAAGATGTAAATAAATCCAAACTAATCCAAACTATCGAAAGTAATAATTATAAATGTGAAAGTAACTCTGTTTGCTGTCTTTTCTTCACCCCTAAACTACTGAATCTATTTGTGTGAAATTTGGTCCAGACATAGTTTGGAACTCCAGAAAGGACATAGGATAGTTTTTGAATCAAAAATCTGCAGGAAGTCACTATAAATACCAGATTTAAAAAAAACTTTTTGTGTTTGTGTACTAATTTGTCAACGTTTAACCTCTTTTTAATATGGTAGAGCGATAGAAAATGTATATTAAAAAAACTAA